AAACAAACCAAAAACCAAAAGAAAAAAACAAGACGAATTAATTTTGAATTCAATGGTCTCGATTCTCATAATCCCTTTGTCCCTTCCTTTTTGGATTCTTCTCCTCTTCCTCAGATACCACACACACCCACACTTACAAGTGTGTGTTATTACGAAAAAATAATAATAATAATAAAAAAAAAGTAAAATACACTATTTTACCCTCCTTTTGTTTCATTCATCTTGTTTAAATACATGTCAATACAATAAATTAATTTCACACGGAGACTGAGAATATGGTGCAATTGTGTGAACAGTTCAGCATAAACGACAACAGGGACGTGCTTTTGGAGATCCTCAAGCGGCTGGACGACGACCGGTCGCTGGCGGCGGCCGCCTGCGTCTGTCGCCTGTGGCGGGGCCTGGCAAGGAGCGACGCCCTGTGGGAGCACCTTTGCTTCCGCCAGCTGGCGCCGCCGCCTGAAGGGGTGAGGGCGGTGGTGGCGGCGCTCGGGGGTTACCGGAGGCTGTACACGGCGTGCGTGAGGCCGGTGCTCAGGACAAGGCCGCAGGGGAGGACGGCGGCGGCGCGGGTGTGGTCCCGCCATGAGGTGGATCTGTCGCTGTCGCTCTTCTGCGTAGATTACTACGAGCGGGTGATGCTCACCGCCGGCCGACCGCCACCATCGGATTCGCTTGTGTTGGGACTATGTGGAGCTGTGGGTGTTTGAAATGAATACGGGAAGATAGCTCCATTTGTTTTTAATTTAATTTATCGAGTTTTTTTTTTCGCTAATTAATTTGGTGATGAGAAACTATATATTATTTGAATTTTATTCATTTAAATAATAACTAAAATATTTACTTTTTGTTGTCCTTTCTTTGATTGGTTTTGTATGTTACTCTTTCTTGCTCCTTATTCTGCTTTTACTCTTTCTATTTTTTTTTTTAATTTTCCTGCTATGTTTTGTAGATTATTATCATGAAATAGTATAAAGTTCCTTAGTTGACAACAAAACGCCTTAAATTTCACTTGAAACTAATGCTTAAAAAAAACATAATTAATTGATAAGCCATTAACATCTAGAAGATCAATTACAATTAGAATACTAAAAGATCTCTTGCATGGTTTGGTGCATAGTTGTTAAATTAAACGAGCTAATTCTTGAGTTAATGAGTCAAGCTCATTAATATTGATAAACGCGTTAAAACTCTAACTCCTCCAATGGCTCGTTCAGTTAATGTACCGAGTGCTTGAACTTATTTTCAAACTCTCCTTCAGTTAGCTTAGCTTGAATTCGAGTATCATGAACTCAAGTTATGGTCGGCTTGTTTACGCTTCTTAATAGTTATTTGTACTAATCAAGACTCAAGACTCAAAACTTAATCCTCGCTTAAACATTATTTGACGAACTTAATTCTAGATAGTTATTTGTACTAATCAAGACTCAAGACTCAAAACTTAATCCTCGCTTAAACATTATTTGACGAATAAGTTCGTCGTACAAAATGTGTAATGTACTTATAAATTAATTATGAAAAATTTTAATTACTGCACATTTAAAGAATTGATGGTCTGAAGACTCTAAACCAGCCTGTTTTTTNGAAGATAAGTTTAAATAATATTGTAATACATTAAATAACCCAATATAATAAGTTTTTCTTGCAACATTGGGATAAGCATTCCACTTTTTGTTATATAAGCACTAGAACCACAAAAAATTGCCCCATAGGACTAGTGTTATTAAAGCTCGACCCTTAGATTCTCATACTTTATTTTTAATAATATGCATAATTTTTAATCAAAAATCATGCTCTCTACTCTATAAAATAATATAAATTAAATATGTTATTTATTAACATTTTAAATATTTTAATTGTTTAAAATATATGACAATCGACCTCCCTAACTGACTCTTTCACAACATAATAATTTGTGTAAAACTAATAAATGAAGAGATTATATTTTCGTTGGCTGACAACATAACTATTGGACATTTTATTCGATCCTAAATTATCTAATGCTAATTTTGAGCCGCTTGGTTTCTAGCCAGGTCAAGAGCTTTATTGGCCCAATCTATTAGCAGATTTATACAAAGAGCCCAATACAATCTTAATTGGAAACAGACAAACTTAAGCCCAACAAAGTTTCAACACGTTTAAATGTTTTGGCCCACAACTATAGATTTTGTATGTCAACCAACTGAAAATTGGAAATCCCCTTAATCTCTCATATCACATAAGAAGTAAAAGAAAAAAAAAATTTCAATAAAAAATTGCTTTTCAATAATTAAATCTTCTTAAAGAAACAAAGGTGTCTTGGAGTACATGCCCTATCTTTTACTTTTACAATTACAATTAATATATTCTTTAATTTAATTACATGTTGAGAAAAGTAGCCATAATTCCCATCCCCACAATTTATATTAGCTAATTATTAAAAATATCTTGTTAAAATTCCCACATCCCACTCTTAAGTCTTAACATTACCATATTATCATTTTCTACTGATAAAATTTTGATTTAATTTTCATATCACAGATTACAATAACATGCTAACTCGGAATGGTGTATAATAATTCTTGATATTAGAATTAGTCCTTAAATTGAATTAACTATTATAAAATGGTAAAGACAATAAATAATAACAACTTTTTTTTTTCCCCTTTTTTCCCAAACATTTGTTTGGTGCGCGTGACACACAGGATGCACCAATTGATGCACCCTAAAATGTAAAATACTAATAACTGTTACTTTCACACACACCACAATAATAATTAATAATCACAATGATAATAAATATTCATCAGATTACATATTACATAATTTATTAATTAATTCGTTTTTTTTTATTTTATATATACACATTTATCTTAATTTTTTAACTGCTGCATAGTTTGTAGTTGTACTTCTACTTTAAATAAATCTCTGAACAGTATAATTTCCATTTTTTATTTTTATTAAATTTTTTGGGTTCTCCGATTTCGAAGGAATCGTCCGCCGCCGGCCGCCGGAATATTCCCCAAGCAGGTATTGCTTCAAGTGAGCTTTCCTGTTTTACTGATTTATGTTTCATTTTTGATAATTTGCTCAAGGTAAAATTATCCGTAATAGTTTTGATAGATTTACTTTTCCCTGTTCAGATTTAGCACCGCCATTTATGTAGATCTGATGCCGTTCTTTGAGGATCAGGAAATCACGTTGCGAATCTGAGAATGAATTTACTACTGAATCACAGTAAGGTTTTTTGTTTACTTTTTTTCCTTTTAAAGTTCGTTAATTTATAGGTTTTAAGGTTTGTTCAGTGGTTTTTGAGCTATTATTAGCTGGATCTTTGGTCGATTTGGACTCAATATAGGTGATCTGTTTATCTGTAGTGTGGTTTGACTTAAGCTTGAAATCGTTGACTAGGGTTCAGTTTAACACTGGAAAGTGTAGTGGAAATGAAATATGGCTTTCATGAATGTTGTGCGTGCTGCTGTTTGAGCAAGTTGATGCACTGTAGAGTTTTCATCTAATTTTTATTATTTTCGGAGCGGGAGATCAATCTAATCTGACTGAAATTGATTGAACATCATTGTGTTGAGTTTAAATTGATGATGAAAATGTTGTTTTAGAGGTAGAATCTTTGAGTTCCGATTGAATCGTTTGGTGATTGTTGTTACTGTGATTTTATTTTGAATCCGCAAAGAAAAAACAGAATGTCTTACGATTTGGTGTTTCTCCTGCAGCTAGCACTAATGGAAATGTCTGGTAGGCGATGTGGATTGTCACCCAGGATCCTATTATGCTGTTGTTAAGCTTTCCTTGAAATGTTTAGTTTTGAAGCTATTTTGAATTAAAGAAATAATAAAAGGAAAAGGAAAAGAAGGACGCGAGATGGGATCCAACATAGAGGAAGCTGTTAGGGCCAAAGCATTTGCAGAGCAGCAGTTCATGCAGAAAAACTTTGCAGGCGCTAAAAATCTTGCCCTCAAAGCCCAGATGCTTTGCCCTGAGCTCGAGGGCATATCCCAAATGGTGGCCACATTTGGAGTCTACACGGCCTACGAGGCCAAAATCAATGGAGAGCCCGATTTCTACTCTATCCTCGGACTGGACCCTTGTGTAGACCGGTCCAAGATAAAGAAACAGTACAAGAAGATGGCCTTTCTGCTGCACCCCGACAAGAACAAGACCGCCGGCGCTGACGGGGCCTTCCGGCTCGTCTCCGAGGCGTGGGCCCTCTTGTCTGATAACTCCAAGAGGAGCTCTTATGACCAAAGAAGACATCTGTTTTCGTCTTCCCACAGGAGGCTGGATACGTTCTGGACTGTGTGCACGTCTTGTCACGTTCAGTACGAGTACCTCCGGAAATATGTCAACAAGCGGCTCTCCTGTAAAAACTGCCGTGGTGTGTTTGTTGCTGCGGAAACTGGGCTGGGCCCACATGATGGCGTTTTCCCTTATGGAAATTACTCGTACGCGCCTGAGAACGGCTACGCGGGCCACAGTTGTGGGGTTACATATGTACCAACGACCACGGGCTACTGTGGGCCCAATGGGGCTTCCGCCCATCACACCGGGTACAGAACCGAGTACGTCTCGAATATATCGTTTCAGGGTACTCCATCGCGAAATCTCACTGGGATTGTGGATGCTAATGGACTATCCTCATCGTCTTTTACCTTTTATCAAGCTAACGGGGAGGGAAGCAAGTCCAGACCCGACGGAAAACATCAGAAAGTGAATGCTGCTGCTGCATCTGATGGGTACACTGCCTTCCAGGGCGAAATTCCTCGGCCAAAGCGCGGACGGCCCCCCAAGAAGATCAAATCGGAGCCCGAAAATAATGCAGTCGAGCCGAAAGCAGCCAATGGGAGTGCAACAGTGAATCCCGAGAACTTGACGAGACGCGTCTCGGCGGCCCGTGTGATTGACACTCGGCAGCTGTTGATCGCTAAAGGCAGATCCGTCATCCGTATGGAACTTGAAGAGATGATGCGGGAAGCTGAGGAGACCGAGAGGAGAAAAGCACTTGCGGCCGAAGCTTGCAAATCCATTGTTGCCGTTAAAATACAACAGCCAGAACTCAAAAGAAGCGTTGCCATGTCGATCACGGTCCCCGATTCCGACTTTCACGATTTCGACAAGGACAGGTCCGAGGAATGCTTCAAGCCCAAGCAAATATGGGCCCTGTATGATGAGGATGACGGCATGCCTCGTCTCTACTGTCTAATACGTGATGTCATATCGTTAAACCCGTTCAAGATCTTCATAAGCTACCTGAGCTCGAGGTCCGACACCGAGTTCGGGCTGGTCAACTGGCTGGACTCTGGGTTCACCAAATCGTGCGGGAATTTCAGGGTGTTCCATTCGGAGACCATTGAGCAGGTCAACATATTCTCTCACCTGTTGAGCCGTGAGAAAGCCGGGCGAGGAGGGTGCGTGAGGATATACCCGAGAAAAAGGGATATTTGGGCGGTTTATAAAAACTGGTCGCCTGATTGGGACAGGTCGACACCCACTGATGTGAGGCACCAGTATGAGATAGTTGAGGTTCTTGATGAGTATTCGGAGGAAAAGGGTGTGTGGGTGAGGCCTGTGATAAAGCTTGACGGGTACAAGACGGTTTACCAGAGGAATCGGGATGATGGTGCTGCTAGGTGGATACCGAGAAGAGAAATGTTGCGTTTCTCGCACCAAGTGCCTTCTTTCCCGCTTGAGGTTGAGAAGACAAATTTGCCCGAGGGCTGTTGGGATCTCGACCCGGCTGCCACCCCTGATGAGTTTCTCCGCAGCCAAACAGATTTGGAGGACCATAAAAATCAGGGCAAGGTTTGCGGCTCCAACCCTGACGAGAGAGGATCGATCGATATGAATCTGGGGTAAAAGCTTATGAAAACATGCAAGGATTTTCATTCAGGGTTAAGGTAATGTGGAGTTTTAAGAGTATCCCTTTAAGTGTGTTGCCGCAGGTGATACGCGAGTGGGAAAAACAGAGTTAGAAACTTTGTATTTCGAAAAAAGTGTGCATAAGAGTACAGATTTGAAGAGTCTGTGTTGATCCTGTTGTGAGAAGGTTGAAGATAGTTTGGAGGATTGTAGAACTAATCATTGGCCCTCCCTTTAATGTTGTGGGGAAGCTTTTTAAATCTGTTTGAGCATTTGTAATCGGAATTGTTACAACAGTTGACCCGTGGTTCTATAGAGACGTTGTTGTTGATGATGTTTGCTTTCTCCTCCTCCTTTTTTCTTATTTGTTTATCTTTTTTGGCTGTGTTCAAGTTATGTAACTGGTATCCATATTTATGTTTTCTATACATTTGCGTAATGGTGTGTTGAGAATTGAGATTGTGACGTGACGTTTGTTTTATGTTGTCAGTGTCTGACCTGCGGGTCACGAACTACATGTGTGCACTGTGGTTGATTGGTTCTGTTGTCCTCGAGCAATATTAAGTGGAAGAATAAATGAATAATACTAGGTTTCACTGCAGTGATT